TTATCTTTTATGATAGGACATAAAGTGTGACTGCTTTAGAACTAAAAGGAGCTGTATTAGAATTACTTTAGAACATCCCTTTCCAGTAACACACCCGCCAACCCGATGGCTCTGCTATCCGAACAACGTAGCGATAGCTCCCTCTATCGGTCAAATGCAGTATAGCGAGCACGTCTGTACAATGTGGTCCTGATGCTGCAGGGATGCAGATAGGATGAGCAGAGTCTAAAAGATGGAGTAAGCGAATCAGTGCTGGCGCAGTCTCTGTGGCGCAATGGAATAGCGCGCTGGACTTCTAATCCAGAGGCTCCGGGTTCGAGTCCCGGCAGAGATGAGTCACTCTGAATGCCACTAAGCGGATGTGCTGTTGTTTTGCCTCCTTACAAAAGGACATAGTGATTTGTGATGTTTTGGACAGACTGTGTTGTTACCATTCAGAAGCTGGTTGTACTAAAGTCAATCTCATTATTTGTTCTTAGGTAGGTTCTCAAAGTATTTTTTTATTTCAGGTGATGTTTTGTTTTCTTCTGGAGAACTGATCAAGCGTTGACTAAACAAGGACAATGAGAGGAACAAATCAGGTTCTTAAAATTAGGTTCTTTATGAGACAATGTGATCTGAGATCAAATTATGATTACTTCTGTATTTGTATAAAAATGGTTTTAGAATATTTCACCACAAGCAATTAAAAAGGTTCAAATGCTTCTGATTTACTTCAATATTAGCAGCTATTTACAAAATCAACTTGATAATATTCAGCATTGTTCAAACCATCTATGGAATAAAGGTCTAGCAATTAATTAAAAAAAACACACCAAGTATTCTTATCTAGGGTTTTTAAGCATTTTTTATTTATGAACCTCATACAATATTATGTTAATACGTTAATAATAAATTACAATTAAGCCTGTTCTTAGAATTGGAACGGTGTTCCTGTGGGGTTCCTCAGGGCATCTCTCTCTTGTGTAGTAGTTCAGACATCAGGGGGCGCTCAACAACAAAAATAAAACTATTACAGTTTTTCTCAGTTGCTAAAACACTAAAATCCCTGACTGAAGAAAGTTTTCAGTTTCTTGAACTCATTAAGCTAACTGTTGAGCCTGTTGTCAAAACCTTAAACAATCTCACACGGTTTAGCAGAACTCTAAACACATTCTCATTCTTAAACACATTCTGCACTCTAATGTACGCGTCGTCCATAACGGTAAACACCAGCGGCACATTTACCCATAGCAAGAGCACAAATGACATTGATTGAACACAATCAGTCAAAATAGATTTCACTTGTTTCAAATGATGTGAAAACCAACAAAAGCAAGTTCAGAGAGCAAACAGGTTATTGAAGGTGGGAATGAGAAAGTGTGACAACGGATAGAAGAATTCATGTGAGAGGACGAGGATGGGTGCATATGCGAGGTGGGGGATGAGGAGGAGGGCAAGAAAGAGAAAGAGGAGGATGAAGAGGAAGAGCAAGACAAAGAGTGGAAATATCCAATGAAATTTGAGCAATCAATCAATTTTATTTGTAGAGCACCATCCGCAACGTTATCAGACGCCCAAGGTGCTGAACAGCATCATCATAAAAACATTCCCAGTACCTGGGCATGAGAGCAAGATAAAATCATAAAATAACAAGCAAGCAGTAATACAAATACAGAGAGGTAACGGAATGAGACTAATCAATTAAAAACAAACGGTGGACAAAATAAGATCAAGCATCCTGGTCAAAAAGAAGAAGTATTAAAAACCATAATGTCAGGGCAATTCAAAGAACCCTAGCGCTGAAAAGCAATCAAATAAAAATGAGTCTTTAGATGAGACTTAAAGACTTGAAGGGACGGTGCCTGCCTAATGCTCAATGGCAATTCATTCCACAGAGTTGGAGCCAAAACAGAAAATGCACGATTTCCCCTCGATCGTTATTTCGACCGGGGGACCACCAGACGTCCCTGCTCGGCTGAGCGAAGAGACCGAGATGGAGCATACTTGTGCAAAAGTGCAGTAATGTAAGAGGGGGCACTGCCCTGGAGGGCCTTATAAACAAGAGTTAGGATCTTAAATTTAGCTCGATATTGCACCGGGAGCCAGTGCAGAGCATCCAGCACTAGAGTAATGTGATCTCGGCATCTAGTACCGGTCAGGAACCTAGCCACTGAGTTCTGCACAAAATGGAGCCGTGCAACCGTGAACTGGGCCAGACCGGCATACAGAGCAACGATCATAGACCATGTTGTTGTCCACGGGCTGACAACGAGGGAAGCAGGACTCACCCCGGGTTTCCACCGGAGCGGTCAGCAGCACGTTACTGCAGCAGCACGTCTTGCTCGCGTATGCCACTGCTTGGCCCTTCCCACGAGACGCGAAGCAGCAGGGGAGCGGCTGTCACCGACCGAGCACGAAGTCACACGAGTGACTTCGTCAGTAAACACAACAACAAGCAGGAGAAAACTACAACATGGTTTGTGTTTTATGTTCTGTCCATTTTATAATCACCAATACGGACCTGAAAAACAAAGGAGACCGCTAGCTAGGTGATAACTTCTCACGGGGATGCACATTTAGTAACTTTTTTTAAAAGTAAAGCAACCGGAAGGCAGTACGTTCTTTATTCTGAAAATCTCGGGAGCTTCGCTCCGTTTCCGCGTCCAATTTCCTGTCTTTCCTTCCCCAAAAATGTCAAACTTGACCCGTTTCAGAGGCGTCGCGCGTAGAAAACAGAACCGGCGCGTAACGGCCGCGACATGCTGCTCCTGAGACGCGGCCGACTCGCGCTGCTGACGGCTCCGGTGGAAAAGGTTCTGTTGACCACAGCGGTTCCTATCAGCAGCTATGACGTGCTGCTGCAGTAACGTGCTGCTGACGGCTCCCGTGGAAAGCCGGGGTTAGAGAGCAACCCAGTTTGAGCCTCAGGAGGGAAAATATTGCATGTGATGTCGATGAAGAGCTGTGGCCTGACCCAACCCACAGACAAGAAGAGGCCCATTGATGACATGTTTAGTCCTTTGATGTTCTTCATTTCATGTATTTTTTTCACTGTCGTTGAACACTGTAGCACTCGGATTGCAGGCTGTATATATGGTACAATAAACAAACTGTATGGCCCTGATCTTTGTGCTTTCTGTCTTTTGGTGTATTGTTTACTGACTGCTTGATGGTGTATGTAATTTTGAGTAATATGTTTATGATTTGAGAGAAGTGTTTGATTTTGAGCACAGCTAAAACCGTTTTGAGAAGAAAGTTTGATTTTGCAAGAGGAATGAGAGGTTGTGTAAATCGTGCTTGAAGCTGAGCTTTTGTGTTTAATGTTTTGAGAAAAGGGAGCGACGTTTCAGGAATTGTGCTTTAGCAACTGAGAAAAACTGTATTATTATTATGAAATGAGATAATGACGCCAAGTCTGAAACAACAGGTAGAAAGTGGTCATAGTAATCTCATTTTATTTCCAGCTTCTTTTGATGCATTTGAGGGAATTCTATTTATTCTATTTTCACAACCAAAATTCAATATTTCAACCAAATTTTAAAGGAATAATGCATTATGTGGATGTGTGTGTGTGTGTGTGTGTATACATTAAACTTTTTGTATAATTACTTTTTACTCGTAATATTGTCTTTGGCATTTTGATACTGACTTTTTCCCTGAAATGTGACATTGTTCTTACAAATGGTTCTCTCTGGAAACTCCCTCCCCGCAGTCCAAAAACAAGACTGTCAGGTTGAGGGATGTGAGAAAACCTTGATATAGTAATATATTGTGATTTTTTTCTAGAGATATTATATTGATAATCAAAAGCTGCGTATCAAAAAATCAATATGACAATATGTTGTGATATATTTTTCTGCAATATTATTCAAAAGCCGTGTATCTAATTTTTGGAAGAATTTATATGCAAACATTTGTGTATTTTCTTTTGTTTTGGTGCAATTGAAACACCGACCACTAGTTGGTGGCAACGTGCAAAAATTTGTTTCCACCATTGAAATGTAAACCCCTCTATTATGGTTCAGATACCTCATTTTAAACATATTACTTATCAGTTTGGACTGTTTATTGACTTTTCCTACAATAAATTTGGTCTAAAACTATCGTCAATATCGTCTGACTGAATGAATCGCAATATATTGTGATACATTGTATCATCTCCCCAGTATCGTGATATGTATCGCATCGCCGAAATGTCATCAATACACATCCCTAGTCAGGTTGATTGAGGACAAAAGTCATGACTTTGCATCTCATAGAGGTCACCTGAATGTCATTACCACCAGGGATTTTGGGCCCCATTAAAAACAGCATGTACCACATATTAGAAATGGATTAAATGAATGTAAATGAAAAAAATGTTGCCCTCCCCTCCTCCCCCCTTCCTTACGGCTCCCCTGCCTAGGTTTGAATTCATTAATTTAACTTTTAAGTTATAACAATATAATAGCTAATATGATAATATGATACCTTGCTCTTGTTGTATTGTTGTATCCCTTTTTTTGTTTCTTTTTCTTTTTCTGCAGGTCTAGAAGCAGATTCATCCTTTTGTCTCTACCTTTCTCTTTCATCTCTGTCTCCGTGTGTGGTCGGAGTTAAAAAGCATCCATAAACAATAACAATAAAGTTTTTGGTATCAGGCGTGTCATTAGAGCAGAAGCTTTGATGCTCTGCCTGAGAGTGAATCTGAAAGGCTTGTCACCAGCATTCAGACTTTAACTCTGTTTGCTTCACAGCCAGACAGGACATGGGAAAAAAGTTATAACAATATAAATCATCAATAGGCTTTGTTACTAAAATAACGACTTGTTGCCTCTTTAATAATGACCAAAAAAGTATTATTTTAACATACTCTGGCAGTGTTTTTCCTATGTGATGGAAAGGGGTTTCATAATTTCTTGTGTAGATCTGTTTTAAACAAAAGCCTTTGATATTTTACAACTGAAAGCATCATTTTTTTGCGAAAGCAGCCACTGTTTTCCGCTTGACTTTTATTTTGGAGGATAGACCCGGAAGCTCGCTTTATCGTTGCCGCACGCGAAGCGCCTCGGAGGGAGCAGCAGCGCAGAAAACGGACAGAGGGGATAGCGAAGAAGGCAGAGAGGGAACAGCTCGGGAGAAATGGTGTGAAGGAGAGCGAGTCCAGTCCGAGTCAGGGACCGAGGAGCAGGACCGACGCTGGAGGACGGTAGTTTTTATGTTTGTCGCCATTAAAGTCCGCAAACTCCCGCTTTTGATGCGGTCCTCACGGAGGTCTGAGCCGATAACGGACTTCTTGGTCGGCTGAAACATGCAGAAGCTGCTGCTGCTGCTGAGTTTGATCCTCAGTTTCCAGACTGGTAAGACCGCGTTTTGTCTTTGTCAGCGATGCGCGTTGTGTGTGAAGCTAGCGGAGACTGAAGCCACCTCTCCCGGTGGTCCTCATTCCGACACAAGTAGAGGGTACCGGGGAGGGGGGGGGGGGGGGGGGGGGGGGGGGAGCTGGGGGGTTCATTCCTAAATATCTGCTCTGCGGTGATGGATCACCTTTGAGGCGCGTGGTTGGCCGCGTGCACGCAAATCTGCGCATGTTCGCACCGCAGCATCTTAAACCGTTATTCGCGCATCTTTATGAATATGGCGCGTGCATGCGAGCTGAACGAGACCTATCGATCATGCCCGCGCGTGCACGCCTAAATGACCTCTCCTGCACGTGATCGAATCCCCGCGTGCACAGAACTGAGTGAGGACGTCAGGGAATGACCGTGATTGTCACACACACACACACACACACACACACACACACACACACACACACACACACACACACACACACACACACACACACACACACACACACACACACACACCCCACCACCTGTATTCCCCATTCACACCTAGCCTGCTTGACACAGATGTGCATCTACCCCCCCCCCCCCCCCATGCTGGGCCAGGGTGGTTATTTGGTGGCTCATGACAAGCACAGCTGTAGCTGAGTTGCTAGGAGACAGGAGGAGAGGATGGTTGTAATCTCCCTCATCTACCTGACCCCCGCCCCACATCTGCTTCACCGACCAGGACGAGGAGCTGGTCTCCCCTAGACAGTTTCATCATAGGTAGACAGGGAGGGGGGGTGTGTTCAGTGAAGGTGTAGAAAAGGATGATGTCACCCTGTCTCAGTGTTGCTCACCATGCTAAGAACACACCCAATCTGAGTGTTCAAGAGCTTCACGCAACAAGAAGACATTCGCTAATAAAGAAAGACGGTGACGTGTGGGACATGTTCTGACCACCTCGATGACTCGTCGCTCCTCTCAGGAGCTCCGTTTGTCTGCTAAACCCAGTCGCTCACATGCGTGGACATCCCTTTGTCTGTGGTTGCTCTGACTTGTCTCCCCATCCTCTGAGCTGTGGACAACGATGTATCCCCTCACACATTCATCGTTTCTGCTGCTTTGCCTCCCAAATGTTTCAGATCAGCAAACAGATTTAAATGTTAGATCAGAATAACCTGAATGTTGAATGCAAGTTTCAAATGAAGGTTTTCTTTATTAAGGGGAACAAAGCTATCCAGATCAACCCGGTTCTATGAGGAACATAACCAGCCTGGCGCTTGTGATAACTAATACACCTCTCACATCTCCGTGGAGGAGTTTGGTTCCACTTGTCATTAAAGAATTGTTTGATTTCTGCCCTTTGGAGGGTTTTCTGTGAGGGGCCTGGGTAACACTTTACAGTAAGAGGCCCTTTATTAACATTACTTGCATTATTAAGGAAAGTATTACATAAAGTATTAACAACTGCCTAACCGTATTATTTAATGTATTACTTAGCAGAGCCCCCCCCCCCCCCCCCCCCCCCCCCCCCCCCCCGGGACTTTGTCCTAACTTTAAGGACACTTAATTGTTATCAAAATTGGGAATGTCAATAAAGGGACCCTTTGTTTATTAATGCTTAATAATGCACTAAGTAATGTTAACAAACGGACCCTTAAGCGTTACTGTGGCCAGTTCAAAGGTCACATGTTCTCCTTCACGATGTTCTAATAGGGAGCAGAATTAATGACTCCATCAGTTACAGCAAGTGGTCCAGGTCCAGAAGCAGCTGAACAGCCCCAGACCATCACACTTCCACCTCCATGTAGGGCCGCTTGAATATGGCAAAAATGATAAGCATGATTATTTTGACTGAAATGGAGATCTCTATACAGGGTATCCGCGGGTCCTTAAAAAGTCTTAAATTTACTTTTCCAAATTTAAGGCCTTGAAAATCCTTAAAAATGACAAATAATCCTTAAATACAGTTTCCAAAGGTCTAAAAATTACCAAAGACTCAATAAACTAGATTATTTTATTTCTATGACATTTTCGTGAATTTCAGCATTTTTTGTGTACGATGTTGGCGTAAGCGGAACCGCACACATTCAGTTGGTTGTGAAAGGGGACTATTTTTAGATGAGCACGTTAGCTGGTTAAGCTAGTGGGAGCTTGCGCCATGGAGAAGTGCAAGTTTAATGGTAACTGGATGGCTAATCCCACGTTCGCGACGTGGTTAGCACCGGTTCCAGGCTATTGCTGGAAATTATAGCTTACAATTAATTTAAAAAATAGCTTAAATTTGGATCTGGATGGGAAGGAGCCAGTTCAGGTGGTTTGGGCATCTGGTCAGGATGCCTCCTGGACGCCTCCCTGGGGAGGTATTCCGGGCATGTCCTGCTGGCAGGAGGCCCCCGGGTCGACCCAGGACACGTTGGAGAGGTTACATCTCCAATCTGGTCCGGGAACGCCTTGGGGTCCTGCCGGAGGAGCTGGTGGAGGTGGCCGGGGAGAGGACGGTCTGGTGCTCCCTAGTTGGGATGCTGCCCCCGCGACCCGGACCCGGATAAGCGGAGGAAGACGACGACAAGCTTAAATTTGGTCAAAGTGGCCTTAAAAAAGGTCTTAAAATGTCTTAAATTTGGCTCCCTTAAACCTGCAGATACCCTGTCTATAGTTTAAATGATTTTTAATTAACGTTGATAAAACAAATACTGCTATGTCGTGCCACCATTTGTAATATATATAGTTTAATGTATTTTGTCTTTTAATTTTACCAGAAACTTCTGTAACATAATCATCTGGCCCTGTCCAGTGGGGAGCCTATGCAATAGCACGATGCAACGTGTCACTCAGACATAAACTATCATGACTTTATTCATCAGCTCAGCAGGTAGAGCAGGTTGTCCAGTAATCAGGAGGTTGTAGGTTCAATTCCAGCTCCCACCAGAGAATGCTGCTGTGTCCCTGGGCAAGACACTTAACTCGCCTTGTCTGCTAGTGGTGGAGGGACCGGTGACGCTACTGTTTGGCACTCTCGCCTCCGTCGGTGTGCCCCAGCGCAGCTGTGGCTACATTGTAGCTCGTGTGTGATTGTGTTGTGAAGCGCCTTGGGGGGCTGTAGAACCAGCGCTATACAAATACAGGCCATTTACCAAACTGGAGGTGTGGGGTGAGTGTAGCCTGGCCACGCTCCATTGACGGCTCTCGGTTGTGGGGCGGGTTCTACCGTTGTCTTTCAAATGATCTCCGCATTCCACTGGACAATGAATGTGACATACTCTTGTTTCACTCTGTTGCATCATCCCACCCACCAGGCATATAGAGTGCCCTGATTGGCCCACAAAGCGGATAAAGCTCTGTGATTTGTTCACTAAGCAGATAGAGCACTATGATTGGCCCACCATTATGGACCAATCACAGCTCTTTATGTGTTTGAAACCCCTCTAGAGAGCTGTGATTGGCCAGCCAGAGTCCTGGCAGGAGCTACGGTGGTTCCAATGGAGCATGCCTAGACCAAACTTTGCAAAGCAAGAATTTGGTCTAGTTCACTAGGCTAGGGTGAGTGGGCATGAAGACAAAATGTGTGTCAAATGTATCAGTTTACAGACCTGATGAAACGAATATGCACTTCAGATTTGTCTCGTATCTTGAGTTAATTTAGCTTGTAAAACAAGAGTTGAGCGAGTGAAAAGTTTATGATTGGTCAGCCAGTGTCAAAAACAGCTATAGCTAACAATACAGTTGTTAATCTTCACTCTGGAGACGAAAACCTCCTCGTTACCGCTAATGTGACTTAGCACTTGGTGATGTTGACATGCCTAACAAAGGAAAAGGTAGGGGTCCTGAGTTTCAGGTTGGATAAAAGATGAAGTGGATCCGTGGGTTTGGAATACCAGTCCAGTTCTTGTTTTTGTTTGGTGCATCTATAGAAACTCGTATTTAGTAGCATCGTCGTCACCCAGCCATCGTTCTGAGGTCTCCCGCTCCTATCTCCTGATTAAACCAGTTAAACTGAATAACATGGCCTGCAATTTGCACATATATAATTGTCTCCAGAGACAATGATTAGGTGATTATTAGCCAAGCAGCTAATTAAAGCTTTGGTGCATCAGATTGGCTTATTTTAAGTCAATAATGGAGCAGCAGCCATGAGTAGCCGCTGCCTGTCTTATCTAGGAACACCACAGGAGTGATTGATTTAGTATCCTTGTCTGGTATCTACACACCACCTGAGTGGTAACGCCTCAGCTAAGTGCCACCATTAATAGTCAAACATTACAGAATCAGTTGTTTGCATACTCACCCTTTAACTTACCGAAAGGCATCAGGTCAGTTCTGGACTTGCAGCAGCGCACCTGAAACGCTGGCTCGGACAAAGGTATTAGCCTTTGTCAGCCTCCGTCCTTCAGAGCACAACAAGGCCGTGAACTGCTGCTGCTAGCAGAACTATGCGCTCCGACTGAGTCACTCAGCCAAGATTTGAATCACAAACTTCAAACAGATTCCTGCTGTGTGCTTACTGCTCAGCTCAGAAAACACTCACATGTTGGACAAGTCAGAGACATTTGGGGGACTTTTGGGAGAATGGTTACCTCGGGAGAGGGGGTGATTGGCTATTTGCACTACAATCATCTCAAAGTGGGCAGTAAAGACTCTAGTCAGAACCATCGACATATATACTGGACAATTCGTGTCCATAGGCTTCAATTATACGTTTTTGAGCCAAAATGGGAGGTGGCCACCACCGCCATTTTGACTGTGTCACAGGTTCCGTCAAACCCAGACAATTCCGAAAAAGGGGAAAAGAGGTGGAGCTGAGGGTGGGGCTGTAAGGCTGGGATCAAATGACGACACCCGTCGAACTGAAGCGATGTAGCTACAAGCTAACCCAAAGCTAATGCGGAGGTGGGAGCTAAGCTAACGGAGGTAGCAACCTAGCTACAACCGGAGTTAACTGTGCACTTAGCTTCTGAGTCAGAGATACGCCGGGCTGACTGCTGGGTAAAACCGGGTGGACAACATCAGTTATGTTAAATGCACTC